GTTCTTTACGCCTTAATCCTATTAAGCGTGTCTATAGGCGCAATTAATTGGCAATATTTTTTGCTCGCTTTGCTTTAATATACACGCATGGCTTATTATAATTTGAGATTAAACGGAAAGCACGATTTGCTATTCATATCAGTCAATAATTAATCAACCAACGAGTGCAATAAAAAACTACAAACATATCATCACATATACATATATAAATTATATATGTTTATTGTCAAAAATAATTATAACTAATGAATAAGAACAGATTTATTATAAAAAATAATTAAATAATCTTACTTTACAGTATATACATTGGAACTAAAAGATTAAGATTTTTATTTTAATGAATAAAAATTCCTAAATTAAAATATTTCTTTTAAATTTACGAGGTAGAGCCACGCTGCAGTTATATGCAGGTCGGCTCGATCGGGTTAGGTACACCATCTCACAGAATGCCAGTGTAAAATGACAGCTTAATGCTGCTTTGTTTCATATGCTAAGTGTAGAGAAACAGATACATTTTACGGTTTCGTACCCAAAGGGTAAGCAACGGGATCCTATTCCTAAGACTCCGCTGTCCGTCCGTTCGCCCGTCTGTCTGTCTGTCATTGCGCTGTGTCTCATGATCCGTAATATATATATATATATATATATATATATATATATATATATATATATATATATATATATATAGACAGTTGAAATTTTCACAGAATGTGTGTTTCTGTTGCCAATGTGTACAATAAAATATGTATGTATATAAATACATGTTACTTTTGAATTTAAACATGTCACTTCCCTTACTAACAAATGACCATGAATGATCGCAATATTTGAAATGACCATATCGCTCAGGGGTCATTGTACAACTGAGTCATAAGACCTAAATCCATATATATGTATAGAAATGAAATGGAATATTTTATTATTCGACGTTATAAATTAAAATTTCGTTTGTCAAATGTCATTTTTTTAATTCTACTACCGTTTCTTAGTAAATTTACTTGATTGGATGCGAGACGATCAAAGAACTCTGCAGGTGTCCTATTTTTTGCCACTTTAATAAATAACGTAGAGATATATCACAAGCGGCACCTGTTAGGAGTTGATTATTATTTAAACAAATATATACGAGTATATAGGTACGTATTTTATAGATAATTTTGTGGCCGATGGAACAAGCGGTGGTTTAACGGTGGTAGAGCCTTGCAGCAGCTTTTGCTGTTGCACGTATGGGCCGGCTCGAGCCGGGTTAGTACCACGACCTCACAGAATACCGGCGTGAAGTGGAAGCTCAGCTTCCGCGTTTCGTCTGGTGAGTGCAGGTGACCGGATGCCCAATTCCCCCCCCCCTCCCCCCATCAACATGGTAGCGGAATTACGTCATAAACTACCCCAGGAGGGTACCAGTACTCCTGGAGAATCCCTCGCTGAGCATCCACGACCATGCTATTCCACTCCTGAGCGTGGGTGCTCAGGCTGCCCCGCGTATTCTGGGGGGGGGGCAAAATTCCGCTCAACACAATAACTGCTCGGGGCAAACTGAGCAACAAGACCAAGGCGACCCCTGCCACGCTATCCGTGAATTTCTGCAACATCAGGGGACTTCACTCGAACCTAAACGCCGTCCACTACCATCTTGAGACGGCGAAGCCGGCCTTGCTCTTTCTGACCGAGACGCAGGTGTCCTCTCCGGCTGATACTTCGTATCTCTCCTACCCGGGGTACAAATTGGAGCACTCCTTTGTGCCTCGGGCTGGAGTTTGCGTGTATGTCAGAGAGGACATCTGTTCTCGACGCCTCGGCAGTCTTGAAGGTTCGGACCTGTCCATCCTTTGGCTACGCGTAGACAGCGACGACCATCCGCGCGTCTACGTGTGCCTCTATAGGTCCCATAGCGGTAATGCCGAAACAGACCGACTCATCGACCACGTCCAAATGGCTACAGATTCCTTGCTACAACAGGTCCCATCCGCAGAGATCGTGATCCTTGGCGATTTTAACGCCCACCACGCCGAATGGCTCGGTTCACGTTTAACCGATCATGCGGGGAGATCTGTTTATGACTTTGCCTTGGCATATGGTCTGACACAACTGGTTACATCGCCTACGCGGATTCCAGATGTTGAGGATCATACACCTTCCCTGTTGGACCTTCTGCTGACCTCTCATCCGGACGGATATCAGGTTTCCGTCGATGCCCCTCTTGGCTCTTCGGACCATTGTCTGATCCGGAGTGTGGTGCCACTCACGCTCCCCTCGCGGTTGCGTTCTGCAGGTTGCCGCCGTGTTTGGCATTACAGGTCGGCGGATTGGGACGGAATGCGGTCTTTCTTTGCTTCCTACCCATGGGGGCGGGTTTGCTTCTCGCCGGATGATCCCAGCGCTGTTGCTGACTCTGTCACTGATGTAGTACTACAGGGAATGGAACTATTTATTCCATCATCTGTGGTACCCATCGGAGGCAGATCTCAGCCTTGGTTTGGTCGCTCCTGTAAGACTGCATTACGCAGTAAGCAGGAGTGTTATCAAGCCTGGGCTGCGGCTTCGGTGACTCGGGATGTAAACACCAGCACACTCAAAAAGAAGTATAACTTCGCCTCCAGGTCCTTCAAAAGAGTTATTGCCAAGGCAAAGTCAGAGCACATAGGCAGAATTGGCGAGAAATTAGTTCGCCTTCCTTCGGGAACCCGTGCATTCTGGTCTCTCGCCAAGGCTGTCCAAGGGAATTTCTGTAAGCCATCACTACCATCTCTGCACAGGGAGGACGACTCACTGGCCCACGACGCAAAAGAGAAGGCCCGACCTTTTAGGCTCCCTTTTTGCGTCCAACTCGACTGTTGATGACGGGGGGAACACACCGCCGACCATCCCGCGGTGTGAGTGCTCCATGCCTGATGTGCGATTCTCACAGCGCTCGGTTCGCAGAGCACTCCTCTCCCTTGACATCCACAAGTCGAGTGGGCCTGACGGAATCCCCCCAATTGTGCTGAGGACGTGTGCTCCGGAGTTGGCACCGGTTCTAACGCGTCTTTTCCGGTACTCCTACTCCCTAGGCGTAGTCCCGAAATCATGGAAGACAGCTTTTGTCCACCCGATCCCTAAAAAAGGCGACCGCTCAGATCCGTCCAACTACAGGCCTATCGCCATCACCCCCTTGTTCTCCAAAATAATGGAATCCGTTGTAAACTGCCACCTCATGCGGTACCTTGAGGATCACCAGCTGATTAGTGACCGCCAGTACGGTTTTCGTCGGGGTCGATCAGCTGGTGATCTTCTGGTCTACTTAACTCATAGATGGGCGTTGGCAGTAGAGTCCAAGGGGGAGGCATTGGCCGTTAGTTTGGACATTGCGAAGGCCTTCGATCGGGTTTGGCACAAAGCGCTTCTTTCGAAGCTCCCTTCCTATGGGCTTCCCGAGAAATTATGCAATTGGATCACCAGCTTTCTTGCAGATCGGAGCATCAAGGTCGTTGTAGACGGTGCATGCTCCGACTACAAGCCTATTAACGCTGGTGTTCCACAAGGCTGCGTGCTATCACCAATGCTGTTTCTTCTGCATATCAATGATATGTTGCAAGCTGGTAGCATTCATTGCTATGCAGATGACAGCACTGGTGATGCTCTATACACCGGCCGTGCCAATATTTCTCGGGAAAACGTCACCGAGTACCGGAACAAACTTGTGTCTGAAGTCGAGTCTTTGCTGGACAAAGTCTCGGATTGGGGGCGACTAAATCTAGTCCAGTTTAATCCTCAGAAGACACAAGTTTGCGCGTTTACCGCTAAAAAGAACCCCTTTGTCGTATCTCCTCAGTTTCAAGGTACTCCCCTTGTTGCCTCAGCCAGTATCGGAATCCTCGGCGTCGACATATCGAGTAGCGTGCAGTTTCGTGGTCACTTGGAAGAGAAGGCCAAATTGGCCTCTAAAAAGCTTGGCGTGCTCAGCAGAGCGGGACAGTATTTCATGCCGGCTCAACGCCTGCAACTTTACAAGGCGCAGTTTCGGCCTCACATGGAATACTGTTCCCATCTCTGGGCTGGGGCTCCCCAGTGCCAGCTTCTTCCACTTGACCGCATCCAGCACAGAGCGGCTCGAATCGTCGACGACCGAGTCCTTTCCGATCGGCTCGACTCATTGACACTGCGAAGAGATGTTGCATCTCTTAGCATTTTCTTTCGCATTTACCATGGGGAGTGCTCTGATGAATTGTTCCGATTAATCCCAGCCGCCAAATTTCACGAACGCACATCGCGGCAGAACTCCCGATACCATCCACACCATCTGGATGATTGGCGGTCCACCACTGTGCGATTTAGAAGATGTTTTCTTCCTCGCACAACTTCCTTGTGGAATAGTTTACCACCAACGATTTTTCCGGACCGATACGACTTAGGGACCTTCAAGAAAAGAGCCTACTCCTTTTTAAAAGGCCGGCAACGCATCTGCAATTCCCCTGGTGTTGCGGTTGTTCATGGGCGGCGGTAGTCACTTACCATCAGGTGAGCCGCATGCTCGTTTGCCCCCTCTCCTATAAAAAAAAATAAAAAGCTACTTACTACGTGGTATGGTCTGGGTTAAAATACAGCCGAAGTGTTTTCGTGATATGTTGTAATTATTTTCGTGTTTTCCACTACACTACTTTTCCGGTCTTTCTTCCAGTTGCAATATTCACATAGAGACATGCATGGATTGCATATTGTCTTGAGGAGCTTGGCATATTGTCTTCATTGTTTTTGTCAAAACCCAAAATAAACTTGATTTTAGTTTTTATGGACTGTGGCAAATAAACAACTTGCAATCTGCGGTGTATAAGAGGCGTCAATAAACTATTGGCTAATTCTTTCAACTTGTCCCTTCCTGAGCCAATCGAAGCTCCTGAGTGGTTTTTGACAATAACGTAGGCATTTTCCATTTCGGATTAAGTATTTCCCACGCCTTATTTATTTTAATGGTACATCATCTATTACCCCTTTGCACTGGTAAAGTTGGTTCTTCCTCTTCTTCAAACTGCAGGGAAATGACATGGACATCATCAGAATCCGCTTCCTGCTCAGTATCACTGTCATGATGACTGTTCCTCATAATTCTCGGTTTCTGATACGATTTCATACTCACTATCTTGTTGTTGCAATATTTCTTCTATAGTGCTATCACTTATTAATAAATTCAAGGTAATAAAGTGCTAAAACAAAACAAAAAACATTTAAAGTTTATCAAAAAAGTAGTTACATAAACGGTCGCTACCGGGTATACATATTTCACCCATACTCACTTGACATCTCCTCTGTGGCTGATCAGGTGCTGTCAACTGCACAACTCCGCTGCGGCTGATGTGAACTGACAGCCGCGCTCCCCGCTCGTCTCTTGTTTCTATGCCGAAAGGTACCTGAAACAAGTAGCGGCGGCAAGTAACTAAATTATGTAGAAAAAAAGATATTTGTTGATTGATTGATTGATTGTTTTTATTATGTACTTCTGTGGTATTTTTTACCCGGTAACGACGAACCCCGGGTTAAGTTAGCGTTCCTAATAAAAACTATTAATAGCCGTAATAGCTCAGGGGCTAAGCGCTCGCTCTAAATTTCACAGTACGTGAACAACCCGGGTTCGATTCCCGCCAGCTCCAATGAAATGTTTAATTGCATTTTTTTTTGTTAATTTAAATTTTACCACGTGCTCAGCGGTGAAGGAAAAACATCGTGAAGAAACCTGTATGTCTGAAAAATAAGAAAATATATTGAAATGTGAAGTTCACCGACACGCATTGGGCAAGCGCGAACATTATCTTACCCATAAAGATGAGATTTTAATTATTATTATATTTCTCTCTCTGTCTCTCTCTGTATGTGTGTGTGTATGTGTGTGCGTGCGTGCGTGCGTGCGTGTGTTCGTTCGTGCGTGCGTGCGTGCGTGCGTGCGTGAGTGCGTGCGTGCGTGGTTGCGTGCGTGCTTTCGTGTGTGCTTGCGTGTGTGCGTGCGTGCGTGCGTGCGTGAGAGCGTGCGTGCATGCGTGCGTGCGTGCGTGCGTTCGCGCGTGTTGCATGCGTACGTGCGTGCGAGCGTGCGTGCGTGCGTGCTTGCGTGCGTGAGTGCGTGCGTGCGTGCGTGCGTGCGTGCGTGTGTGTGTGTGTTTGTGCGTGCGTGCGTGCGTGCGTGCGTGTGTGCGTGCGTGCGTGTGTGTGTGCATGCGTGCGTGCGTGTGTGCGAGCGTGCTTGCGTGAGAGCGTGCGTGCGTGCGTGCGTGCCTGCTTGCGGGCGTGCGTGCGTGCGTTCGTGCGTGCGTGCGTGCGTGCGTGCGTTTGCGCTTGCGTGCGGGCGTGCGTGCGAGCGTGCGTGCGTGCGTGCTTGCGTGCGAGAGTGCGTGCGTGCGTGCGTGCGTGCGTGCATGTGTGTGTGTGTGTGTGTGCGTGCGTGCGTGCGTGCGTGCGTGTGTGCGTGCGTGCGTGTGTGTGTGCATGCGTGCGTGCGTGTGTGCGAGCGTGCTTGCGTGAGAGCGTGCGTGCGTGCGTGCCTGCTTGCGGGCGTGCGTGCGTGCGTTCGTGCGTGCGTGCGTGCGTGCGTGCGTTCGCGCTTGCGTGCATGCGTTCGTGCGTGCGAGCGTGCGTGCTTGCGTGAGCGTGCGTGCGTGCGTGCATGCCTGCGTGCGGGCGTGCGTGCGTTCGTTCTTGCATGCGTGTGTGCAGTGTGCGTGCTTGCGTGCGTGCGTGCGTGCGTTCGCGCGTGCGTGCATGCGTGCGTGCGTGCGTGCGAGCGTGCGTGCTTGCGTGAGAGCATGCGTGCGTGCGTGCGTGCGTGCGTGCGTGCGTGCGTGCGTGCCTGCTAGCGGGCGTGCGTGCGTGCGTTCGTGCGTGCGTGCGTGCGTGCGTTCGCGCGTGCGTGCATGCGTGCGTGCGTGCGAGCGTGCGTGCGTGCGTGCTTGCGTGCGTGAGTGCGTGCGTGCGTGAGACAATCAATAAACCGTTTTATAACAAGGCCGACTGGGTTTATAAGGATGACAACTCAACGGGAAACTAGTGCAACTTTATACTGAAATACTTTTTATTTTTTATTATTTGTATTTAGATTTCTGCAACAAAACTTTAAATGCATACATTTATTATATTTATACATACATTTATTATATTTATCTGTAAAAATGTAATGTTGTTGACGAAATTTACAGCCTGGATTTAATTGCATGGAATGGTAACCAAAGAATGCGATTTTTTAAATTATACTTACAATGTTTGCAAAACGAACAGTGATGTTTCAGGTAACGGAATAAAAGCTTTACCGTTTTTATCGATATTAACGTTACATAAACAAAGTTTTTATTTCAAATAATTACGTGCAAAGGAACAAGTAATACAGAAGTTTTAAAATGTTAAAAATTATTAGCCTGTTAAAAAAATCAACCGCTTATTTCGAACCAATCCGGCTTATTTAACTATATAATACACAGTAACATTTTGTTGTAGAATGTCTTCGATAAATTTATTTAAATAAAGATGTGAGTCAGAATGTTCGTGACATCATTTTACTGTTTTACTTAAATATACATATAACTATAAAAATGTCCAAAAATTATTGTTACGGCGCTTGAACTATTGACCCGACACTAGGCACACTGATTTTTTGTAAATGCTAAATATGTTCATGACTCATTATCGAAACTTTATAGCCATTTTCGTAATTTATGAACACTGGCAGATAATTGCTAATAAATAATAAAAAAAAATGTACATTGCGTAGAACTAATGAGGATTTAAAAGAGCAGCATTGCGTCAAATTTTTGATGTATTGTGTCTGCGGTAGGTATAGCCGCATGGGCAAAACATGAGTCTGCGAAGGTTAACAAGGTGCTAAAGTAAACGTTAATAAGAAAAGCCGTAAAATTAACGATCGAAAATATTCAACGCTTTGTTAAAATCGGCCTAATGTGAAATATCATTGCAATTTACTGGAATGAAAATACAAACCGATTTTAATTCTGATGAAAATTTAAACAAGACCATATAATATAATATATTAAAGGCATGTTATGATTTTTTTAATCGGTTATTCATTTGTTTCTTTGGTTTCTTTTTCTGCAATATCGCTGTTAACATAATTTCAGACGTTAAAACAATACCTCTCAAACGGCACGCTATGTTAGTGTCGAATACGAATCTAGTACTACTTTTATGAACGTTACGAACGTTATTGGCTCAATCCCTTTCGTTCAGGAAATTCTGACGTCAAAAAGAAGTTCGTGGCCGTCCGGAGAAGAAAGTTGATAGTGACTATTTGAAACCTCTAGTTGAAGCAGATACGTCTTAAACTACGGCTGACCAACCAATTCAATAGTAAATATATAGTCGAAGCGGATACATCACAAGCTACGTCTGCACTAGCATCGACATTTGATCTAAGTGTTAAGAAAATATTAAAAAATTTGCGGTAAATCGGTAAAATTAAGAAGCTTGAGAAATAAGTATCTCATGTGCTGAGTGAAACACATCTAGAGGCTCCAATTAAAGTATTTTTTTAAATTTTAAGTTACCCATACAAAACGGTTATACCCGTGAAACCCTAATATTTAAGCAAATATAAAGTTAAATCGGGGAAGAATTCGAGTTCCATTCCATCAACAACTCTAATGATTAGGCAGTTTTTTGTTGACGAATTTGCACAACTCATGGTTTTTCGAGTTGCTTAACGAAGCTTTGATAAGGATTTATATACAAATTTTAGTGTTTCGTAATTATTTTGAACATTTATTCTTGTTAGACGGTTATTTAAATGTGTGTGCTTATTATAAAAATTACACAATATTAAAGATGCCAAAAATAGACATTTTTTTTTCTTATTGCTAGTTAAATATTGAACGACATTATAAAGCAATATCGGTAGGTCGTCTCGACTTGGCCAAAATGTGTTTATTTTACTAAAGTTTTCTTTGTTTTATTATTAAAGATCAGTTTTATGGAGAGCATGTTTATACAAGAACTCTATAAATTATAAACTATATAAAATAAATGAAATATATAAGTAGGATTTTGTGATGTTTTTTAGATACGAAGTAACAAATTATAAATTCTAAACAGAAGAACAACGACAATGCCTTTTAAAAATATGTAGAGACTTAGATTGCCAGGGCATGGAGTTGAGTTAAGAATCACTGGAACAACTCTTTTGATATTATGATTTAGATTTGATGATATTGACTAATTAAATGCATAAAATATTTCCAAAATGGTTTTGATTTAATTTCTATTATTGTAGAATTGGAAAGAAATATTATGTATGTAGATCATATTATAATTGTTGTACTTTGTCATATATATACATACATAGTGTAAGTATTCTAGTATTAAGATATCTTTCTTGACAAAGACTAGAACGAATTAATTCGAAAACATTGAAAGAAGATAAGGTGTCCACCAAAACTACTACACAATAGAGACTACGAAAAAATACAGAGTCAATACTGGAAGTAATTTGAATACATTTAGTAGAGGAAAAAAACTAAAATATCTTCGTGAAATAATTTTCGACATAATTACATTTATCATTTTAAAAAAATTGCTCAGGATAATTTAAAATCGGTTCAATAATGTAATTTAATAATTTCCAAAATTTGAAGGCCATTCAAATTTATTTTGGTTATACTTCACGAACTGTTCGTACTTTACCTCCAGAAATAATTACATTCACTAAAAAAAAAATATAAGAATTACCATAACAACGCAAAATGCAAAAACAATATTACATTTTGCATAAATTTCGGTCGTGGAGAGAAAAAGAAACAACGTTGTTGCTATTACACGTAAAAATAACGACGCAATCATTGAAGTTTTGTCACTATGTCGCTGCCACACTGTCTGCTGCTCTCTGTTGATAAATTTACATAAATATCGTGAGGACACAACGTGACCGACCAATAACATGATCAACATCGATCGTAAATTATCAACGGCAAATAAAAAGATGGCGAGACGCTATGAACACCTGACCATTATAACAACAGATTGAAAATAAAATATTGCCATTGTGATTTATTAAAAGCCGTATACATGATTAATCGAAAAATATAAATAAGTCAATATCTTGGGTCAATAATCTATATAAAATATTATTAATATTTTGACAGAAAAACTTATTTTAATAATTAACGGTGCATGACATTATTTTTACAAAGTGATAGAGCTCTCCAGACAATGAGACCGTCTGTGTTAACCTACTCGTATATATCCTAGCACTTGGTTTATGCCCTTGAGCAGCAATGCACCCATTCTTGCGTTACGGTTCTTGAAGTATATTGCAAGTTTGCAAGCCCTGGGATAGTTGTATGGTTGTAGGTTCTTAATCTCATTTCTTCTTATTCTTCACGTATTACAATCCATTGTTTTAATTTAGGTTAGGTAA